GCTTCTTTTATGACCCTCATATTTTAGAAGCACATTAGATCAGGCAGCTTTTTATTTCTTAGGTCTGACCCTGGCAGGCATAATTCAGACTCAAAGTTCTTTTCTGTTGACTCAAGTTAGTTTTCTTCTATGGGCTTTTTTTTTCTATTTAGCTAAACTTTCACAAAAATAAGCATTTATAAAAATATAAAAGTTACACATGTTTTCAAAAAAACATTAGAAAATACAAAAAAGTAGAAGAAATTACTCATGGTCTTACTACCCAAACACAACCATTACTGGCATTCTGTTTTATTTCCTTCTGGTCTTCTTCCATTCATTTTTTCTCCATGCATGCTCCCAGCCCCCACTAAAATAGGATTGCTGGAACACTGTATTCACAATTCCTTCTTTGTAAGTCAGATAGCGTTTGACTCTTAAATCTTACAAGGAAACTTTTTACCAGATATTTAGGAACCATAAAAACCAAACGTAATGCGTGTAACTTATTTTGATTGAATTCAGACAAATCAAATGAAGAAATCAGAGAAATGTATTATGGACTGGGTTTTGGATGACAGCAAAGCATTAGTATTCATTGTTAGGTATGCTAATGGCATATGGTTATATAACAAAATGCCCCAAATTTTTAGAGTTGCATATTGAAATAGGTATGAGTGAAATGACATGTCTGGTTTGTTTTAAAATACTTTAGCAATCAAAAAAATCTTGATAGTACCTGAACCTGGGAGATGATGTTTTTATATGGGACACCATTTTTACTTAAAGGAACAACTGACAAAAAACTATAATTATTTAGACTTGGATATCTGGCACTTCAAGAAAACAACCTGTCATTGTTTATTGCCAATGGTAAAGTTCAAACTTTCACAAAAATCAGAATTTTGGAAGCCATGTATTTGATGTATGAGTTTAGTGGTTTCCTAATACCTAAAGACTTCTCTGATGTGATAATATAGTGACATTGACAAATGTGGTTTTTTTTTGAGACAGACACTCTGGTGCCTGGGCTAGAGTGCGGTGGTGTCAGCCTAGCTCACAGCAACCTTAAACTCCTGGGCCCAAGCAATCCTCCTGCCTTAGCCTCTCAAGTAGCTGGGACTACAGGCATGCACCACTATGCCTGGCTAATTTTTTCTCTATATATTTTTAGTTGTCTGGTTAATTTCCTTCTATTTTTACTAGAGATGGGGTCTTGCTCTTGCTCAGGCTGGTCTTGAACTCCAGAGCTCAAACGATCCAACTGCCTTGGCCTCCCAGAGTGCTAGGATTACAGGCATTGAGCCACTGCACCCTGCTGATTTTTTGATATTATATAATGAAAGGTGTCCAAATTTAGAAGACCAGCATAATAAGCCAATATTTCTAAATATTATTTCCTAACATTAACAAATCATACATGGGTAAAAGAGGCATTCAAAGTTGAAGACAGACCAATGGATTTTTATGTAACATAGTAAAAAAAAAAAATCAACTGATATAGTACTAGTCTGCTAGGGCTACCATAACAAAATATCGCAGACTGGGTGGCTTAAACAACAGAAATTTATTTCTCATGGTTCTGGAGGCTAGAAATTCAAGATTAAGGTGCCAGCCAATTTGGTTCCCCATGAGGGCTCTCTCCTTGGCTTGCAGATGGCCACCTTCTTGCTGTGTCCTCACATGGTAGCAGGGAATGCAAGAGAGTACAAGCACTCTTTTTTAAAGGACACTAATCTTATTGGATCAGGACCCCCACCCTTATGACCTCATGTAACCTTTACTATAGGCCCTTCTCATAGGCCCTATCGTCAAATACAGTCACAATGGGAGGGTTAGGGCTTCAACATATGAATTTTGGGAGGACACACATTCAGTCCACAGAAGGTATGGTTTCAGATTCTAGACTGCAATTAACTTTTCAGAAATAATTTGTTAAATTTTGATGTAGCACAAAGATGACTATCCACAACTATCTGGAAAAGTTTCAAAGTGCTCCTTTCTTTTCCAACTAATGTTGGACTTTCTTCATATACTTCAACCAAAACAACTTATTCTAACAGACTGAATGCAGAAACATATATGAAGATCCAGTTTAATGTCTTCTTTAAGACAGACATGAAGGAGAGTTTAATAGTTGCTACAGAAACAGGGGGGCCTATAAAGTCAGACATATTTACTATCTGGTTCTTTACAGGAAAAGCTGGCCAACCCCTGATCTAGGTGATTCCTTCACTTCTTTCCTACACTGGATATTGTTTCCTGGGTCCCATGTCTTCCTCTTTCTTAATTCGCTTCTCCTTTATTTTGGTGAAACACATCCTCTGTTAGCTTCCTGAGAAACGGAGGTATATTTTTTTGATTCCTTGCATGTCTGAAAATGTCCTTTCCCACCCTCAAATTTTATTGACAGCTTAGCGGGGTACAGAATTTTAGCATGGAAATCATAGTCTTTCAGAAATTAGAAAGCTTTGTTTTACTGTCATCTCAATTCTAGAGTTGTGGTACAAAAGTCTGCAGTTATTCTGATTTCTGATCTATTGTATGTGACTTTTTTCCCCTTCCTTAGAAACCTACAGGATCTTTTCTTTGCCCCCAGTGTTCCAAAATTTTATGACGATGTGTCTTGGAGATGATGTGTCTCCACCACTGTGCTAAGCAGGGAGCTCTTTCAATCTCAAAAGTCATACCCTCCAGTAATGGGGCATTTCCTAGAATTATTTTGTTGATCATTTCTTCCCCTTTGTTTTCTTTGTTCTTTAGTTCTGGAATTTTCATTGAACAGATGTTGGTTATCTGGACTGGTCCTCCAATTTTTTTTATCTTTTCTCTTTCTGGGAAAACTCCTCAACTTTACCTTCCAATGAGAATCTTAAATCTTCTTAATTTCTGCTACTCTGCTTTTAATTCCCAAAAGCTCTTTTTTTTCCTTCCAAATGTTTCTTTTTTAAAGTATCTAGATCTTGTGATATAGACACTTTCTCTTTAAAAAAATCTCTAAAGATATAAATGATAATCTCTTTTCCCTGGTTAGTGCGTTTTGTTCTAGTTCCTTTTTTCCTGTTTACCTTGTCTTCCTATTTCATATTAGAGGCTTTCCTTTTGGTTGTCTCTTCACACGTGAAAGTGAAATCCCAAAAAGCTCTGACTGTGTGGGTGGAGTTTATTGTCTGTAAGCTTTACTGTAGAGGGACACAGCTGAGTTGTTGGTTGGGAAGTCCTCAAGGTTAGTATCCTTAAGTCTTTTTATTCACTACTCAGATTCCTAAGAGAAAGATTTCCCATTGCCTGACTCATGGGTATAAGTCTGGCTACCAGAATTCTGGGGTTGGCAGGGAAAAGAAAGTTGGCACCCTTACCATTTAGTACTCAACATTGACTCAACTGCCCCTAAGTTACCATGATCAACAAGTGTGTTTGCTGTCCTCTAGCTCAAACACCCCTTACCTTACCTTCCCAAACAGTAAGTTTCTGGTCTTCTGTTAAGTTATGGGAAAGGCAATCTTTTTTTTTTTGAGACAGAGTCCCACTCTGTTGCCTGGGCTAGAGTGCTGTGGCATCAGCCTAGCTCACAGCAACCTCAAACTCCTGCTTCAACCTCCTGAGTAGCTGGGACTACAGGCATGTGCAACCATGCCCAGCTAATTTTTTCTATTTTTGGTAGAGACAGGGTCTCGTTCTTGCTCAGGCTAGTCTTGAACTCCTGAGCTCAGAGTGCCTGCCTCGGCTTCCCAGAGTGCCAGGATTACAGGCATGAGCCACCGCACCCGGCCTATGGCAATCTTTTTAAATACACTTTTAACCAATACTTTTGTTAGCCTCATTTCCCCCGACCCTACCTCCACTTTCTAGAGTTATCTGGTGTTGTGAATTTCTGAATTTTCTTAGGGTTCTGCTATGTAAATTGGGTTGTTTCTTGGCTTTCTCTATTGCTGGCTCAGGATTCAGCTTTCTCAGGACTGCTAAGTCAGTTACCACTCATCCATCTGCTACCCAGCTTCCAAAACTTTGTTGCTGTTGTCTCCTCTCCCACTCTCTTTGTCCTTGTGGGTTTATGTCTTTAAAAAAAAATCTCTTTACTGTTGTTTTAGTGAGGTTTTGGGATGGAATGAAAGTAAATGTGGGTATTCGATCCTCCATCTTTATTTGGAACCTCTTTATAATTAAATATTTTTTTACTTCCATTTAATATTACAGCATAAACATTTCCCATGTTCTTCCTTGGTTTCTGTAAACAGCTTTAATAATTGCATAATATTCCATTGAGTAGGTACCATGGCTTACTTAATCACAACCCTATTTTTGGAGTGTGGAGTTGTTTCTGGGGGGAAGGGACTAGTTTTTCCTGGAGTCATCTTCCACTTACCTCCCTCATTCACCCCTGTGTCGAGGACTGCCTGCTGATATTCTTCTCCCTCTGTTCTCAGTCCATGGTTTCATTACTTTGTGCCTTTACTATGGCACTACCTTGCTAATTCGTCTTCCCACCTCTGGTCATCCTGCATAACGATGCAGCACTAATCTTTCCAGAAAGTTACCTTTCTCATGACACTTCAGAGGAACCCTAACACCTGCAATTCATTTGTGACTGGCATTTGAGACTCTCCACAGTTGGATTCCATGCCATCTATGAAAACTCTCCCACCTTCCCCAAGGGTTCTGACCTCCTCCTACCTGCAGCTCAGGCCACCCCTCCTGCCTTTCCCAATCCGCACTCACCTGCTGGTGAAACCCTATCTCCTACGCTAAGCCTCTCCCACATTACTTTGCTTGCCCACTTTCTTCATTTACCTGATAATAGACAAGAAACAAGTCATTTGTTACAAAGTCCTTAAGGCCAGTCTTGCCTTCTAAGTGGGACTGATGGCTCTTCCAAGGCAGGGGCTCTTATATTTCTTCTCTGCCACCCTTGCCCTACCACCATGGCAGCCCAGCCCAGTGCCAGGCACACAGCGGTGCTTACCCAAACTCACGGAATGGAATGGCGGGAAGCAGAGAAAGGACAACATGTAAGTTGTTACCTTGCCTTCTGGAGTCAGTGTCCAGATCACAGAGAAGGTCAGCTTGTCAGTCATGGGGTTGAGGCTGCACAGCTCCTCACACAGCAGCCTGGGAAGCATGGGGACCACCTGCAAACAGAGGACAGGCCCGTGAGCACTTTTCTCTAGTCTGCAGGAGTTTGTCCCAGGCTTAGGAGAAGACCAAAGGGCACAGTTTTGGAGAACAGCTTCAGCTTTTCCAAAGTGAGCCACAGATGGAGGCGGCTCTGTTCCTGAAGACTCCGCAGGAAGACCATCCTATCTCATACTTTTCCATTAGACTCTAGAGTCATAAGAGGAATGTGAGCTAGGAAAGTGAGAAGAGCTGGTGACAGAAGTTGAAAAAAAATACACTGTAGCAATGAAAAAGAGCTACACTTTACTCATCTACTAAAACTGAAGCTCTAGACTTTAGCTATACTTTTGGATACCATTATTCCAATTGAACAATGTACTTAAGAACTCAAGGTGTGAGTGTAAACTCTTAACAGGGGTTTCATCAAAGGAAAATAAAGCTATTGTTGAATCAGTGCTTTATTAATTGAACACACCAGAATTTACCAAATTGCATGTTGGAACACTAACAGAATATACTCTAAATCTGGCTTTCATAGACGAACACAGGTCAATTAGTCACCCATTTTGTAGTTTTTTAAAGCTGAAATGGTTTCTTCTCCTTATTAATCTTTCTGCCTCATAATAAACTGAGTAAATGGCATACCCCCTTAAAATTTTTTTTAACTTACTTTCAAATGATGACTTAGTTATCCCAGAATGTTACTTGTTTTTTTCTAAAATTCGAAAGATTAAATGAGTATCTCTACCTATATCTCCTGAAGATACTCCAAACTCTCTCCTGATTACCTTTAAATCTATTTCTCCTCCCATATTTTTTTTGATTAACAGTATTACCAATCACTCCACATCTCAAACCCAAAACACCAGCAGTAACAGCCATTTACTCAGCATGTTTACCGTGGCCCTACTTGGTTGCAGTGCTGGGCATAGGTAATGCTTCAATCCCATGCTAACTACTCGAGAAGTGACAGGCAAGCGGGCAACTATGCTGTTGTTAAGGCAAATTTAGCCAATTAAGTTTATTAGCAAAAACAAAACAAACTCCAGTGGTTTCTTATTTTATGTGAACTGTCTGTACCTGTACCTGCACTCTGATACAGTAAATATCTTTGGCACGGGATAGTAAATTCTAGAACTCATGGTCCACACCAGTTACACATAATTAATAATTGTTCAGCATTTTTCTAAAGGATGCCATATCTTTTCTTTTTATTTTTTTTAGAGATGGGGGCCTCGCTATGTTGCCCAGGCTGGCCTCAAACTGCAGGGCTCAAGCGATCCAACTGCCTTAGCCTCCCAAGTAGCTGGGATTACAGGCGCGGGCCACAGCGCACAGCCTAAAGGGTGCCATATATTTTAAGAGCTATGAAAAATCTAATGAATACCTGAAAACTTTGGTAACTGCTTTTAGAAGATAACTACTTTTGACATTTTTTCTTGCCATTGCTTTGGCATCATCAATACAGATGACTCTATATTTTCTTTGCTAACTTATTTAATGGTGCATTAAAATATGATTTAACATTTTCTTGTATGTTGTCAAGTGTTTTACAAAATAATACGTCTTTATCTGCATAAGCATATTACACAAAATAGAGATGTCATACTGTCTCATGATTGAATTATAAAGATTTCACATAATTTCAGCCTCTGGACTATGCTAGGAACTGAACTGCATGCCCCTCTGCCCCCAATTCATAAGTTGAAGTTCCAACCCCCAATGCAACCTGTTCAGAGATAGGGTCTTTAGGAGGTAATTAAGGTTAAATGAGGTCATAAGGGTGGGCATAAGGTGGGGCCCTAATCCAATAGGACTGGTGACTTTATGAGAAGAGGGAAGGCGATCTCTCTCTGTGAGTGGGCACAGAAAAAAGGCCACATGAGGACACAGCCATATATAAGCCAAGAAAGAGCCCTCACCAGGAACCAAATTGGCCAGCACTTTGATCTGGGACTTCCAATCTCCCAAATTCTGGGAAAATAAATTTGTTGTTTAAGTTACCCAGTCTATGGTATGTTGTTCTAGGAGCCTGAGCCGACTGACACAGACTAAATCAAGTTTGTTGCGTATGCATTCTCGTATTATTCTCTGGGCTGCATCATCAGATAATCAGACCAACTAAGCCAGCTGCTCATCCAGTTCACTTGTTGCAATGAGATTAGTCCAGGGCTTTTACAGGTAGTTAGTATTTCTTCCAAGTATTCAAGGCAGTATCTTACTTTAAGTCACAAAGTGAGCATGTGATAATGTAACATAATTCCTGACTTCATGTTTTAGTGTTTGTGAAAAGAAAGTCATTGTAACTTGTGTTTTGACTGGACCCTGGAACAGAAACATCGATGGAAAAAATGGTGAAATGCCAATAAAATATGGAGTTTAGTAAATAGTTAATAATAATCACGTTCCAATTCTTAGTTATGACAAACGTAACACAGTAATATAAGATGTTAACAGTGGAGAAACTGGGTGTGGGGTAGATGGGACTTCTCTGTGATACCCTTGCAACTTTTCTGTAAATCTAAAAGTATTCTAAAATAAAAGAGCTTCTTAAAAAGAAAGTCATTGTTCTCATTAATTGATTCTGTTACAAATTTAAATATGAAATAAATTTATACTAATGATGCTAATGAAAATCTCATCTGTTTCTATATATTAGAGTTTGGGGTTCAGATTTTATTTGCAAAATGGGCTTCACCACTTAAAAACAACAACAACAACAAGGTCTAAAGACTTTTTTATCAATTGAGTGAAGGCAGGCTGAGCAGCAGCACGGGGCAAGGACAGAAGCAAAGGCTTTGACGCCTGAGAGACTTGTGGCTAATCCTGGGCCCACCATTTCCTGTACAATTTGGGCAGGTTGGTCTAATTTTGAGTCTTGGTTTTCTTATTGGTAAAACAATACTGAAGATGATCACTAAAAGTCAGCTCACCGGCCAGCCCATGGTGTCCAACGTGCTCTGGCACCCAGCCCAGCCTTCCCCTTCAGCCTTGTGCCCGGCCCTCCCTGCCAGCTCTGGAAACACCAGCCACGTGGGCTTTCGCACCGCGCCTTCGCCTGCCCGTGCGCTGCTCCAGCTCTTTGCATGTTGTTCTCTCTTTCTGGACATGGCTGCATCTGGCAAACTTTTGCACATCCTTTCAGATTCAGCTCACTGCCCTCTTTAAAAGGCTTATCCAGAAGCCCCCAGGCAGAACATGTATTGGTGCTCTGTACATACCCCCGTTCTTCCAAAGAGGATTTAGGGTGGTGTTAAGCAGTTAGTCACTTGCCCCATCCTCCCTGCCTGTTCAAAGCACTCACCACACTATGTCCTAATGGCTTCGTCAGGTACCTCTAGTGCCAGTGGATGACGAATCCTCAGGAACAGGGCCAGGTCTTGCTCCTGTCCATCTATCCAGCACCGGACACATGGTGGCACTTCTAGTTTGCAGATGACTGACTGACATTCCCCCAGGAAATAAATCACCTGTTTTTTCTATGGTCACGATTTACTGCATCTCACAAAACATTTATGAAATACAAAGTAGAAATGTATTTAAACATCTTTACAAAAACATTTCATAAGAAACTAGTATTTTAAGCATAAGGTAAACTGCATTGCTCCTTCCTAAAACCTATTGGCGCACTTAGTGGCTGTCCATGTTACAAAAATTGCTTGATGTCCCATATCTTATACAGAAGACATTTTATTATTCACACTACAATAGTCAGATGCCAGAGAATCTAAATGCAAAAGAAAGCTAAACATTAAAACTTTTGGGGTAGTATAATTACATTTAATTTTTAAGGAGCATTCTTTTTAACAAATGTTCACCAGATCTTGAGGCAGAATTCAGGTGGAATTTAGAGAAAACAGTGTTTATGTCCATATAGTTTTATAAATAAATGGTTATTCTTTCTTTCTTTCAAAGGAAAAGGAATGAAGAGGTTACAATCACACTTATGGTTTGACACATCACAGCTTCTCATAAATTGGGCCTGATTCCTGCCGGGTCCCCGTGCATGTGTTCTCCCCCTGCCCCGGGCACAGCAGCAAGCCCCGTGTAGGAGGGCTGGAATGGCGGGCGGCCCCTCCAGGTAAGCTGCTTCTTCAAACCCAAAACTTGTTATGTTAGGGTGTGACACACCTGGACCACGGTGCGACAGTCCACACACACACATCGCTACGTGAGGGTTTCCATGGTACCTGGAAAGCCTCTGAGCCAGGTGGTGAGCACAGAATGCCATGTAAGGCTGGAAAAGAAAGGTCTCTCCAGGAGCTGAGAAACTGCTGGCTGTCATTGGCACTGTGCGTCCCCTGACCCCTTGCTACTTTCCCCAGTCTTGTCCTGTCTTGCCCTCACTAGCTTCTCTACTCAGTATGAACCACACGGATAATTCCTGCAAAGTTCTTTACCCGCCTCATTTGCACTGTCCCAACTCCACGCCCTCCACAGTCAGTCTTATAATTGGACTTTCCTAGCTGAGTAGTGACACAGGAAACTGTGGGGCCGTGTGCGGGTGTCTTGCCAAACAGTCTTAGCTCTCACCTCCACAGAGGCCAGCAGGCCTTCCACTTGTTTTTGTCAGTTCCTTCCCCACGCCCTTCAGATGCAATGCCCAAACACTATTATTCTCCTCAAACCTCCTCCCCAACTGCCTCCTCATTCTTTCTGAGCAGAAAATCTCAACTCTTTTTCACAGAGAAAACTGAGATCAGCAGACTCAACCCCTTCCAAAGCATCTGTCCAGCTCTTTCCTCTAGCCTGCTTTCTCCCATCCCCTCACTCTCCATGTGTACCCTGGTGCCCTGCAGTCAGTCTCACAGTGGGGGTCCTGCCTGTCCAGAGACGGCCCTCTGTCTGGGCTTTTCCTCCTTCCGCTGCCCCCAGCTCTTCACAATGAGCCACCTGTTCGCTGGTCTCTCTCTCTCTTCCTGTAGGCCATCAACACAAGGTCAGTGTTGCTCATGCTTAACAAACACCACCCCTTCCCCAACCTAGGCCCTCCCTTCTTCTTCTTGTAGAAGTT